ACTCTGCATTCCTGATGCTGACTGCTCTTCAGGTGATGCTACCCCAGATCCGGTTTCTCACCCAAGTCCTTGATTTCCTGGCTACTCCAATTGAGTTTGCTTCACAGAGTGAATGGAAGAAAGAGTTTAACCAGACTCTACAAAAGCAAGGTAGCAGCAGCTCTGACACATCCCGAGAAAGGGCCTGGATGCTTTTTTATCAAGCCAAGGTCCAAGAAGTTCAAAAAATGGCTGAGACTTGGCTGGCATCCAATGAGTCAGACTGGAGTCTCCTTGAAAGAAAACACTTGGCAATTTGGGAGGATGTTTACTTGGCAGACAACAATGCCAAAAGCTTGCTTGCAGGCTATGGTGCACACCCAAAACGGCATACACCTGAATACAATATTGTCCATGGCAAGAGAGCACACATCTTCAACCTATGTATATCCTCTGCCAGGGAGCATGCTCGGAGCCTGTCAGCAGACGACACAAGTGATGCTGCTGTGGTGGACAGAGGCATGGCCAAAAAGTTGGTGCTTCTTGAAGACATGATGTTTGCCAAGGATACCTTTGGCCGTGTTGCCCGGTTTGCACCACCACCAACCAAGTACTTTTTTTCAGGTGTGAACCAGGTCCTCACTGAGGTGAAGGGTGCATTGGAACAGGTAAGTTGATCCCCTTTGCTCATGCGTGCGCACGCATTGACACTGTTCCCACTCTACAAGGTCATGTTTTGGATTGACCCTCTTTCAACCATGTTCCTCAGAGGCGACAAGCATCTGTGGCCAAACACAACTCAGTGCTTGCATGCATTTGTCTGTGACTACCTGAAACTGCCATTGCATGCATACTATCAGGTGTGTGACTCTGCTGCCTTGCCCTGGAGTGTGCAGATCAAAACAGCAATAACTCACACTGTGATTTTTCCCTCTTTGCCCTGCTTGTTGTCAGGTGGTGGATACCATTCTGGAACATCGACTTGACACTCTGGTGCCCATGAAAAACTGGAGGACTGTACTGGAGGAGCAACATGCTACCTTCCACCTCAACCTTGTAAAGCAAGTTTCCAAAGATGAAGTGCCAAACTCACTGAACAAGAACCTGAGCAATCTGTGTGCTGTGTGGGCAAACAAGCTGAAAACATTTTCAGATGCCAAGAAGTCACAGCTTCGACCCCAGCCAGATGCAAAAATATGGGAGAAGGCCACAGCTGGACTTTCTTCAGACCACAAAGGTGTTTTGCAGACTGCCGTCACCTTTTTGAGAGCAACTAGCTTTCAATGGAATCTAGCTGAAAATCCCTATGATGCTATTCACAACATTGCTGCACCTCTTCTCAAGCATGCATATCTCTCCAGGGAAAACAAGTCCTTTAATCAGCACATGGTGGCCTGTCCCTCCATCATTGCCCTCCGCAAAGACATTCAGGCTGCCCTGGAGAAACACCTTTCCTATGCCTTTGAGTGGCACGATGGAATGCAGGAAGGGTTTGTGCTTGAAAACAATGTTCCTCCCCCTGAGCTGTTTGTCACCACCTTGGGTGTCATCTCGTTCAAAAAAGATGGCCACCATATTGTGGAGAGTCCAGCCAATCAGGCTGTACGTGGAGCCAAGGATGATGTCATGAGGAATGGCAATGGACAAATCCTCAACACAATCATGGATCTGCTCCAGAAGCTGGATTTTGGACCAGACTGCAAGGACGGCCTTCTCCCTCCAAAGGTGGCTGCATCAGCCAAACAGCTTGTTATGGTAAGCATGTGTTTTTTATGCTGTGGATGTGCAAATGTGCTGATAGCATCTACCAGAGTGTTGTGGCTGAATCTGAACTGTCCATTGTACAAGTGATGGATGTTGATATGGATGTTAACCCCTCTATTGAAGAACTGGGCCCTGACCGCTTGGACAAGGCACAGCGGGAATACTACCATGTCAACATGCCAAAAGGAATGTCAGATGTTGACTACATCACCATGCGGAAAGGGCTCTCCCAGAAGGCACTTGAGGCCCTGGTTTTCATTCAGGATTCAGCACTGGGTGCTGAAGAGGCCAAGGAGCAGAAAAAAGAAGATGCTGAAAACAAGATGAAAGATGCTCGGCTGAAAAAGGCTAACACAGCAAAAGCTCCCTCAGTATGGAATATTACAAAGGAACAAAAGGCTCAGGTAATCTGGAAGAGACAACAGAAGCAAAAACAAAAACAAGAGACAGATCAGGGATCTGATGAAGAACTTGATGTAGGGATGCATGGAATGAGCATTTCCCAGAGGCAAGACACAGGCATGTACTTTCAGCTTTATTTTGTTTTATTTGTATACTGATCAATGTAATTAGTTGGTCCACAATTGGGAGGATCTAGTGGTCCAAATGATAACCACAATGAGGATGAGGATGAGGATGAGGATGAGGATGAGGATGAGGATGAGGATGAGAATGAGGATGAGAATGAGGATGAGGATGAGAATGAGAATGAGGATGAGGATGAGGATGAGGATGAGGATGAGGATGAGGACGAGGATGAAAATGAAGATGAAGATGGTGAGCTGTCTTTTATATTCAAAATATGTGGTGACAGGTGCATTTGCTAAACCAACCTTACATTAGGTGTTATAAGTGATAATAATGACAGGGAGGAAAAGTCTGAGTCTGAGGGTGGCAAAAATAATCAAGATTTTTCAATGCATAGCTCTGGTGGGTTGGTTTTTTCTTTTTTGTAAGGCCCACAAGCAGCTAAGTTATTTTGAGTGTAGAACATGGCAGTACAGGCTATGAGAGCTCAGGTAGCTCTGAGATTGCCACCACTTCACAACAGGTAGTGATGCCTATGCATGTAAGAAAGCAAAAACGGAAACGAAACCCATCTCCCTTACCTGCTGCTGAGACAAACACCTCAGCACCCAAAAAGAGGGGCAGATATCAGAGAAAAGCCATATCTAACTGTAAGAACCTTCATAATTTTTTATGTAAATTACTGTATTGATCTCCCCCAAACTCAGTTTTCATTACATCTGATGATGATCGTCGCATGGATGCCCCTCTGACTGATCCTTTGGCCAAGTCATGATTTTACTCTATTTTTGTCTATCTATGTTTTTGTTTACATTTAGTGTTGGCTGTACTGTTTTAGTGCCACTGTGTTTTAGTGCATAGTAACTGCATTTTTGTCTATTGATCTATTATCCCTTGCCTTTTAACTGAGAGTTGTACATGGGTATGCACCCAGCATCTACTTATACATAGTCCACCTTGTATGATAGCTCCATATAGTGCATGCTCCTACACAGCTGTGCTGAGAGTAGAGGAGCCTAAGCTCAATATGAATGATCATTTATACCAGTAGTGACTTAGTGCTTTCATGATATTTTACTTTTTTTTACCTTAGGCTTGTGGTGGCATGAGAAAGTGGGCTTTGAATGCACTTGCCTTAACTGTATGTTTCTCTTTTTAGGTTGAAGGGGCCTCAGTGGGGCAGGACAGAGTTTTTTCTCATTTTTAGTCAGTATGACTGGATTTTCCAATTCATTCTCATAATATCAATGTAATTTAAGAATTGTTGAGGTACAGTGCCAGGGGATGGAGGGTGAGTGCTCTCAATCACCACCCAGCCACTGAGATAATTGTTCACAGGTGTTTGCCCAATGAATATTTCCAAGAAATGATTTGCCTAATTAGACATGGGGATGAGCAGCCTGGGACCCCTTGCACCAGAAAAATATCAAAATAAGATTTGCCAGTTCAGTTGAAATACCTTGCTCAGATATGTTAAGTAATTTTTGTTTTTGCATACATTTCCAAAAACTTATCCAATCCAGGCACCAAGTTTTATTTAAAATAAAGTTTGCAAAAGTATACTTATGAATTTGTGATGGGTGGCAGCATATATTTGAAATGCATTTTGTACATAACAGCCAAGTCATGAACTAGACTGGGCTGTCCAAAGTCAAAACCTGAGCCAATTGCATATCCTTAACAGCCCAGCAAGGCTAATAGTCAATAAAATTCCAGAAAAAAAATCAAACAATTTTCATTGGGCAGCAAAAACATCAATCAAAAGTTGTCAAATCCCTGTCAAACACCAATCAAACACCATTCACATATCAATCAAAACACCCCTCAAGCACCTGTAAAATCTCTGCCAAAGACCAGTGAATGTCAATCAAAATAATATAATTGTTAAATAGACTGGCCTTTGGCAGGTGTTTGACAGATATTTGAATAATGTTTGAATGGTGTTTGATTTGTGTTTGGTTGGTGTTTAACATGGATTTGACAGGTGTTTGGGTGATGTTTTTTTGCAATGCTGTGAATTGAAAAATACTGGTTAGCATAAACAATAGAAATAGCTTCTTGATGGCAAAAAAATAGCAGCTGGGGTTTGAGCAGAAGGGCTCTATGTGTGGCCAAAATGTTAAATGCTGAAATCAGTAATCTATGTGGACATCTTCAATGTAGCCACTGGTAGAATTGTAAGTATATACACTTAGATTACAAATACATATAGATTCTCCTACATGGATTGATGTCCTTTCCTACACCCCTACTGTGACTCATATATCATTTACAATATAGCCAAGATAAAAAAGAGGTTTGCTCTGTATCCAAGCTTCAACTGTACAATAAAATCTCACCATACTTCACCCATTATTCAAAAGTGCAATGAGAAATGGATCTTACATAGAAGCAATGGGATGTACTCACTGATATAGAAAACTATAGCTAAACCCAATGCAGCTCAATGATCCAGGTATGTCACACATTCCAATATTTCTGCTATTCTTCTGCATTTATTGCATGGTTGTACACCACTGGCACAAGGAGATACAAAGGCTACAACATAGGACATGGGAGAACACCTGTCTAGGGTTAATTAACCCCTAAAAGCTTATCTCTGTCCATCCTATTGTATTTTGAAGTTATGTAAATCTAAACATAGGGATGAACCCAGGAGTTACCATGGAGGATTTATCATGCAGGAATAATTATGTACCTGGCATAGAAGCACCTACAATCTCATGAATCAGCAGCTGATCAAGCCTAGATCTCTATAGATTGTTAGCTGATAGGGTCTGCACTCTTACCATAGTTGATCAGTAGATAGTATCAGTAGTTCCGCATGGTTTCTAGTATCAGCTGGTGCTACAAATGATCTCCTTAGTCAGTATTACAGGCATGCCTTACCAATCTCTTAGCAATCAAGGCACACCTTTAGTCAAACATTAGTTACAGAGCATCCCAGAGATTTTGAACCATGAACCTGGTACCACCGGTAAAAAAAGAGGGGAGTGGAGTTTTTTTTTTTTGCCAAAATCATTACCATCCATGTTGGTATCCTAGGCCAAAGCATCTACAACACTACAATAGACATCTGCAAGTAAATTACTTTGGTGGTTGTGAATTTGGCCAAAGCAATATTGCTCTGATAATGCTAAAGCATGAACTCCAGACTGCTGAAAGAGGTGCTGTACACAGATTATATGACTTGATTTAAAGGGTGGGGGACAAGTTTGAACACAGAATGCATAGTAATCAAGCAAGATTACATTATCATGCCTTTGGTGGTTGTGCTGGTGCATGTTTCCACTGGTGTAACCAATGTTGGGATTCTATCCCAGTTATCCAGTTGAAAAAGGAGAACATAATGCAAAAGCAGGTAGAGCTTAGACTTGTAACCAGCCTGCTTCTGCGTACCCTAAATGGGACCAATCCTGGAGCTTTTGCATCAGCAAGACTGGCACATCTCAACACACCTTTAGCAGGCAACCTGCAGAGTGTGAAATTAACAGATGCGAATATATTAGTCACCTTGGCAAAGCTCTGCTGAGGCAACCATGCAAGCACACTTCCTGTCAGATGTAAGGACATGCCCAGCAGACATGTTCTGCTGCACGTACCATTGAATATATGCCTGTGTTTCCTTCCCATCCTGTGTGAATGGAAAAAATGGCAGCTCCTCAAGGACAACTGCCTGTTAATTAACCCCCACTTCAAGTATACTGGCCCTGTCCACCAGTATTGTATCCTGAAAACTTGCTGGACCCCTTCTTCCTCAAAACCCTCTTGGTATCTGGCACCTCCGCTATCAAGATTGCATGATGTGATCCAGCTCTCTGCTCAAAGGACACCAAGATCATGGCTGCACTTTTCCTTCTTGCAAACATGCAAACCACTCCTGCCAAGCTTGAGGCAGACATTACTTGGGCTCCTGCTACACGCCACTATCTCTCACTGAAATGCTTGGGTTTGCTCAAAAAATGCACACTTGATTACCTATAAAACACTCTGTCAAACCTCCCCAGCTGGGATTGAAAGGTTACAGTCATGCTTTGTCTGCAAGCTGTCCACTATGTCATAGACATGGTGAACTGGGAGATGCAGACAGAACTGTTTTGTATGTATGTCCTCCCTTACTGTCAATACTCAGTATCTCCAGGTTTTTGATCTCAGCAACCTCACTTGGAGTGTCAAGACATCTTTACCTGTGGCTTGTGAACTTGCTACTTTGATTATCCAGCACCAGAAAGTTCACACAGATGATCTTAGTAAAAAAAAACCAAAGCAGTATTTCTGTCTATGCTATACTGGCTCTGGCTGCCCCTCTAACATGTTGATTGGATTTTTACAGCCCTTATTTCCCATATATTGCACCTCTGATTGCAAAATAACACAGTCTTTCAGGTTCCATTTGGCCTCTTGCTTCTAAGTCATGGTCCCTCCACTTGTGCTTTCAATATCTTTGCAGCTGTTGGTCTTTGTCCCGCTTACTTGACCTTGCAAACAATTTACCAGGTACTTTCTGACAAGTAGATTGCTCTTGCGTGCAAGGTGACATTAGGGATTCATGGTATACAGTGGGACAATGTGCATATATCAACCTCTGTGCACCCAACTCAGCAGGACATGGCTCACAGAAAAGGCTCAACATGAACACAGGACATTCTCTGCCCTCTACCTCATGTCCCACACTCTGTGGCCTATTTGCTGAATAAACATCTCGCTCACCAGGCTTCACTTGATCTCATAGACCACAAAATTGATATTCAAACTGATCTGGACCAGGGTATCATAGTCATTGACATGGTCAAGATCCCTCCAAACTTGGCTGGGAATGTGTTCAATTACTTGGGCAACCCAGACAAGCTTTGATACCATTCATATCTGCCTTTACCTGCTGGGGAAAAGGCTAACCAGTACTTGCTATCCACAACCACAATAGACATGTCCACCACAGTCAGAAATGTCAAGCCTCCCAACATCACATACATGGTGCAGCTCAAAATGTTGCTCACCCACTTTAAAAGTCTCAATATCCCTCGGAGCATTGATCAATCAATGCTTGCACGTGTCCAAAGCACCATGGAATTTTGAGACAGCAATTTGAATGCTTCTCATTGTTTTGAGGTCTTCCAGCTCAGTCCAGGGCCTTTTCATATTCTCTTAAATCTTAGCCAGCAAAATATTGCAGTGCACCAAGGCAATTATCATGATCCAGGAAGCTTAGCTTGGTGTATCAATATACTATGGCTCTCTCAGCTTGGAGGTGACAAAATGGACTATAAACTTATGTGCACTCTCTTTATTCAGGTGCTACAAGCCAATCTACTTGTGTACTGGGAATTTGAGACTGGCAAGACAATCTGAGAGCTAGCTGATGCAAAACTGAGCGCATCCAAGCTCTTTTTCATTGGCTGGTGCATATACCTCAAATATTTCTTGGATGATGCAATACAACACCTTGGAGAGGGCCTAGAAATCAACCACACTAGAAAAATATTCCAATACAATTTGCCAATTTAGTTAAAATACCATGGCCGAGTAGTTTAAGTAATTTTTGCATACCTGTCTGAAAATTATCCAATCTGGGCACTGAGTTTTATTTAAAATAATGTTTGTGAAAGTATGCTTATGATTCTGTGACAGGTGACAGCAGATATTTCAAATACTGGTATAGCAGCTGAGTCATGAAGCGGACTGGGCTGTCAATGTGGCTCAGAATCTGAGCTGATTGCAGATTTTTGACAGCCCAGAAAGGCTATTAGCCAGTAAAAATATGAGAAAAGGAAAATCAAACAATTTTCATTGGGCAGCAAACAATCAAACACCTGTCAAACACCTGTCACAGAATCATAAGCATAATTTCACAAACATTATTTTAAATAAAACTCAGTTCCCAGATTGGATAATTTTCAGACAGGTATGCAAAAATTACTTAAACTACTCGGCCATGGTATTTTAACTAAATTGGCAAATTGTATTGGAATATTTTTCTAGTGCCAGGCATTCAAAAGTGTCATCCTGCTGAACTGTGACTTGCTGGTGTTCCTACAAGCTGTCTCTGGGTGTTTCTTCAAGTGATTTTGGGCGGATTGAGCTTTTTTTGGGTATACTTACTGAGGGTTTTGCTGGTGCAGGTTGCCTTTCAATTATATGACTGAGATGCTTCATCTACTCCAGAACCTCAAGAAGATCTGGATACCTCAGCTCATGTAAGTGTCATATTTTTATTTCATATAGTTAAAGCTTACATTTCAAAGCAATGTCACGCATCAGTTTATGCTAATCAACATGTGTGGACAGCCAAATTATGCAACTGGACAAGACATGGGTATTGAGCACCTCATCAATGCAATGAAGGTTCACTTTTTCACTATCTCTTACTTTATTTTTACGCTCTTCAGGCATACTACATCCCCAAAAGAGTTGGTGGACACTGGGGACAGCTCTTGACTTATGCCGCTTTCATCACCGTACTTTGCCTGCTCAAATTTTGGTTCACAAAGTTCTTCAACACATGCTGGATTAGGACTAGTCACACTGAACCAGACACCTCACAAATGTTGCTCAGCTCATGCACATTGTTTACAAGACAAAAATCCACATACCTACACCTGGATGAACTACTCATGTTCAAGCTGTTGATATAATATCTGCAGGTGTTGACTATGATGAAAACTGGCTTTTCCAGCTGGCAGAAGTCATTCCAGGAGTGGGTGAGAACAAACCATTACAATTTCAAAGAAAAAGAACCAGAACCAATGCAGCCTGACAAAGATTCAACAAGTGGAGGCATTGAGGACCTCCTTGCAAGTAATGAGTCAAAAGAGGATGGTGACTCTGAGTTAGAGTCTGTGCATTCAGATGTCAATGACACAGAGCCTAGAGGTGGTAATGATGATGTTGATGCTGACATGAGAGACTTTGGAGAGTCCTGAGGCTGATGAGAATTTTGGTGAAAGTGTTATCTCAATGCTCAGACACATATTAAGTTGGGCAAATGTCACACTTCCTGCTCTTGCAAACATGTTATAGCTATTCTCTAATTCATTATGACCAGGCTATATTTACAGTGATAATCTAATGCTATGATTGTTCTACTCTGTCGGAAAAAGCCAAATGGGGTTTGCAATGGTTTCCTATTAAGATAGGTTTGCAATCCCCATTGTAAAGCAATGCAAACATTGAAATTCCATTGGACAAGGCTGCTTTCCATCATAAGGGTGTTCTCAACTGATTCTCAATTCCATGGCAATCACTTTAAAATAGCTATCACAATGACCGAAGGGTCCCATTGGAATATACTTTAATTCTTGATTCATTATGAGGCAATTTCAATACATTTCAATTATATAGCCATATTCCTAGGATTTTTCCAACATCCTGACACTTGCAAGCTCATTTTAAAGGCTGGGAAAACTGGGAGGGTGGCTCAGGACACTTTGGCTGGCAAATAATACTAGTAGGGACATGCATCCGTCCAACAAGGGGCTCCTTGAATGCAATCTGAGAGTATGAGGAGGTGAACGTGTCTTGAGAAGACATGTTAGATGTTTCAGAAGCTGTGAGAATGCCTGCAAAGTATCAAAGTCACTGACCCAAGGTTTGTCCTTAATTTGAAACTTGCTGACATGTTGCATGAATGCCGTTGGAGGAGGAGGAGGGGGAATATCACCAGTGTCAAGCTCTTCCTGCTTGAGTTTTTTCTGTTTCCTTGGTGCTGTTTTCTTTGCCAGCTTTTTCTCCTGAATCTTGGCTTGAAGCTGAATGTTGTACTCCTCAGTAACCTTGAAGAGTCCTGGACTAAAAACTCTTGCCCAGCCTGGAGTCTCTCCTATGAACACAATGAGGTTAGCAAGGGGAAGAAAGGGATTTGGGGCTTGTTTTAACAAGCTTGTCCACCTCATCTTTTTGAAGAAGATAGTTAGTTGAAAAGGTTGTCACAGCAGTAGGATCCTGTAAACTTTAGTGCTGTAATAATATGAATGTTGATAGTATTCAAATTCATGCACACGCACCTTTTTAACTGTCATCAACATTCTTCTTCCTCATATAATTGTGCCAACATGCCTTGAGGTGCATATATTCACAGACACTGGGGTCAGTTTGCTTCTCCTTGTTACTCTGTGGCTTGCTGTCCTCAGTGGTTAGTGCTCATGGCTCTACAACAGCAAGACAGATGGTTTTGATTGTGCAGTTTTGGCCACCCTGACCAAACTCTTGTTGCATCATCTTGATGCTGGACAAGGCTCCAATGCACACCACACATTCAATGTCAAAGACACCAATGCCCTAGATTCAATCACTTAATTTTGGAATATAAAAAATCAACATCCACTTACAGTTGAAGCAATAAAAGTTGAGACAAGCACAGAGATTTTGCTTGAGGCCTTGCACTTGGAAAAAATGTGATCAATGTAATTCCTTGACATGGAAGAATGGAGGTGCAACTCCACTTTACTCAATTTGAGAGTGTCAGAGATCCACCAGCAGAGATAGCTGGCAATCCAGGCGGCCAAGAGATAGCTGTTGATAAGGACAACTGTCTTTAGTGGCCGTTCAGCATTGGGTGCAGTAGGTACAAGAAAAATGATAGTTTTTGAGACATTTGATGCTACTGTACAGCTGGTGTACAGTGTACACATGATTAGGCTGATTCACAGATTCCATGAGCTGCGTAGTTGTACATGGGACAGTGTACAGGATTGGTGGTGGGAGGGTTGCTGACAGGATGACGACCAGCAGGTTCAAAGTAGAGGCAGGATTTCACCTAGGTGTGAGTATACTGGATGAAAGGCATCCTTTTCACCTCGTTGAGGGAATCCACTCAGAATGATGAAGTGCACTTGATCTATAAAAAAGAAACCAATGCTCTTGAGGAATGCACAGTTTGTAAACATTGATGAAGCAAGCCAACAGATATGGCTGCTTTTCAGTCAAAAGAGCTGCTTGAGGGCAATGAATATGTCCTTGTTGTATACTTGTTTGATTCTCTGTAGAAAAAAAAAAAAACTAAAGGTAAGGAAGCACTATATGTGTTGAATCAACCAAGATATACACTTTTCACAGCTCCTTGTCATCTGTGGTATCCTCAGTGATCTGATTCAATGGGATGCCCATGCAATTAAATTCCTCAACCTGTGGCAGTGTGAGAAGCTTAAAATACAGCGAGGAATTGGCTTACATGGTTCTGTTGAAGGAGCTTCATCAGAGAGATTGTCAATGCAATTTTTGAAGGCTGAAGACTGAGGAGGAGTGGAAGGATCATAGTTATTGTCTTTCCATAGCCTGTTTCAGCCCAAACAATAACATTCTCTCCAGAAAGTGTCTTCAGAGTAGATCTTAGCTGAAATTCACGAAGCTCACTCTGGCTCTTTGTGTAGAAATCAAATCACAAGATAGCTTGATGTATCACCAGAGCATCAGGCAGAGTGAGATTGTTGACAAAATCAAATGATAAATAGTTGAACAATTTGTGAGCTGTTTTAATCAGAGGGCCTTGGATATAGAAAAAAACATGCATGATTAATTCTGTGATTATCAAATAAACAAATGACAAGATATGGACGAGGTAATAGGAGGTATGCTATGTACATCCAGATGTGTTGTGTTGCGCGCTTGACCGTGAATCCAAGGCTGCCAGCGCTCAGCAGAAGCTAATTTCACACTCCCCAGGTTCCCTGCCAAAGGCATGTTGAGATGTCCCAGTCTTGCTGACACAAGAGCTTATGGCTTGGTTCCCTTTTTGGAATGCAAGATGTGGTAACTGGTTACAAGTCTAGGTAGAGCTGGCTTTACTCATTGATGTGCATGAGTCTTCCACCCCATCTATGGACCATGATATTATGTAGTCCAACATACTGTTCACCATCACCAGGCAGAATAACAGCAAGCTCATTAGAGGTAGGTAGACTGTTGTGTTGTTTATTAGACTGTTTTTGAAAGCAAATGTTGATAGAAACATCAGCATCAGCAGACAAAGAATCAGCCAACTCTTTTGCCTGTACATAGACACCAACAAGAAAGTTATGATGGTATAGCTGGGCAAATGATGCATCTGAGGTGTCCAAAGGTAAGAGAGAGCCAATGCAATGGCAAAATTCTCCGTGAATTTTAAACACATAGTGGCCACCACCACATTGATCAATGGTCTTACCCTGCCTCCCTACATATGTCTTAGCCAAAGCATTATTATACCAACAGCTATTAGGACAGAGGCTCACAGCATCTTGCTCATCTGAAGACCACAGATGCTGCAATTCATGGCAAAGGACATCAAGCATAGGAAACTGGCCTTTTTCATTCAAGCAGCATTGACAAAAAGTGGGGTTCTTGCAGCTTGACTTGGCATGCTTCTCAGCCATCCAATAGAGAGCATGACACTTCCAACATTCAACATTCATAAGGTCCATATTATGAGGAGGGATCTCAGCCTTGCTAAATGGACATCATACCTAATCTAAGAAGGCCTGTATACAACACATTAAATGTTGGAATGCGGTTGAGACACCGCTTTGGTGACAGCTCGGGCAGCTCGGGAGAAGTGAAGCGGAGAAGCAGGGAAAGAAGTAGAGAAGCAGAAGAAGAAGAAGAAGAAGTGGGCAACGGAAGGCATGGAGGAGCAGAAGCCAGCAAAGGAATGCTGGTGTATACATAGTGAAGCACACTTGTCCTTATCCCCCACTCGCATATAACACAGTGTTTGGGAGTAAGCTCAGTTCATTGCCGCTCACCCGTTGAGACAAAGACTAACGACTAGTGTAGTTTTGTCTTATATGTTTCAGGTACATACACTCGCTGTCACAAATTCCAGTATTTCTACTATTTTTCCACATTTATTGCACGGTTGTACACCACCGGTACAAGGGGATACAAGAGATACAACATAGGACATGGGAGAACACCTATCTATGGTAGATTAACCCCTAGAAGTGTCCTTATCTCTCTCCATCTTATCATATCTCGAAGTTATGTCGATCTAGACATAGGGATAAACCCTGGGGTTACCATGGAGGATTTGTCATGCAGGAATATCTATGCACCTGGCATAGAAGCACCTATGATCTCATAGATCAACAGCTGATCAAGCCTAGATCTCCATAGATCGTCAGCTGATAAGGCCTGGACTCTTATCATAGTTGATCAGTAGATAGTATCAGTAGTTCCACATGGTTTCTAGCATCAGCTGGTACTGCACATGATCTCCTTAGTCAGTATTACAGGCGCGCCTTACCAATCTCTTAGCAATCAAGGCACACCTTTAGTCAGACATTAGTTATAGGGCCATTGCCATTGGTCGAACCAAATACTGTACAGTCATCATCCCAAATAGTCTAGGGCAGACACAGCATGATATCATAGATCTGTACTTGTATTTAAGGAGGCATATCCTGGAGCGTACTCTCCAGTCTAATCCACTTGTTATACTCGAGATCACCACTCTCATCCAGCTCTCTAAGCTCACCACTCATCATCTATATCTCACATCACTTATCCCTCCTCAAGTTCCCTCAGTAGTTTGGTGAGTAACAGTTTAGCTGTTACACTCGCATATAACATAGTGTTTGGGGTTTTGTCTTATATGTTTCAGAATTCTAACATTAAACACTCTAATCTATTGTAACCCTGGAGCGCTAACCCTAACACTAGTAATAAAAGTTCACAGTGTTATGTTGAACTTGGTAGAATTTCCTTGTATGTTTATTTCACAGTGTAATGTTGGACTTAGTGAAATTTCCTTGTATGCTTATTTTAGGGTGTAATGTTGGACTTAGTGAAATTTCCCTGCATGCTTATTTCATGGTGTAATGTTGGACTTAGTGAAATTTCCCTGCATGCTTATTTCATGGTGTAATGTTGGGCTTAGTGAAATTTTCCATAATCCAATCATGTGACTAATTTTCATCACTGGACAGGTGACCATAGTGTGACCGGCGACCGGCGACTGTGAAGCTGGCGGCCGGCGACCGGCGACCGGCGACTGTAAGTCCGGCGACCGGCGACCGGCGACTGTAAGTCCGGCGACCGGCGACCGGCGACTGTAAGTCCGGCGACCGGCGACCGGCGACTGTAAGCCGGCGACCGGCGACTGTAAGCTG